CTGAATAAAAAACTTTGCACAAGTCTTTATCTGACATTTATTTTCATTTCTTTTGGGTAATACCAAAGACTGGTATTTCAGGCTAAAATATGGCAACCGCATGTTTAACCCAGGTAAGAATATGAAAACTCTTTTCAAAGTAGCTGTACCATTGTACATACCCAACACCAAGTCTGGAAAAAGTCTTACTGTGTCTGCTTCCAAAACATAATCATATATATTGGTATATATTTGGTAGCATTTTATTTGGTACCAAATTTGGTACTCTCACATTCATCCAGAATACAGGTATCTCTTTTTACTTCCTTCCAATGAAAATGTTTCTTCTCCAACTTGACTCACTTTCCATTTAGCAGAGGGATCTATTTCAAAAAATCAATTTGGATCATGTTCTGCCCTACTAAAACCAGTTGGTGAATCACTTAGATATACTTATACTAAAATCCAACATACTTAGCATGGCTCATTAGGAACTCTGTCATCTGCCCTCTGTCCCCCTTCACACTCTCAGGTTTTGACGCTAATGTTCTTGTTCACTGGACTTTACCTATAGTCTTCTTTTAGTTTTTTTCTGAGAGCTCTTTCCTGATCTGTAAGTAAACTCATCTGGGAAACTCTCAGAACACCCAGTTGGACTACAAAGTAATGATTGGTTCTCTATAATTATTTGTATGACTTTAGCTTAATGTTTTCCCTCCTCAAAATTCCTCTAGGAACTTCAGAGCTCCAGTGGCCACAAATTTGTGGCAAAGTGTAGGGATTTAATATATACATATTGGATAACCCATAAATGTTGCTTACGAGATCACTTTGTAAATTATGTACTAAAGAATTATGAAAGAATTATGTAATAAAGACATAGATGAACTTTTAATCTAATCTAAAAATAATTATATTGCACTAGGTAATTTTTTTAAACTGTGAAACTTAATGAGGTATCTAAGTGTTGGCATATATCTCCCATATTATTTTTAGTTGTCCGTTTCCTTCTTATTTTTTTTAAAACTACTTTTTCACCAGACTATTCAACTTTTCTTTTTCTTTTTTTCTACAATGGTATATTTTATGAATCTTATTTTAGTTTTGTTAATGGTTATCTGTAAATTTTTAATTATATTTATTTTCTGAAGTATCAAGAATACTCACACATATATATATTTGTACCGTTATTTGCAACTTGTGTAAAATTAGAGCTACTATACAGTGTCTTCTTTCCTCTTACCTGTCCCTGTACCCCCTTTGAAGCTTCTAGTACTTTTCTGTTTTAATGGACAAACCTTTATTTTTCTAAATAACTATTTCTCTAAATAAGGGACCAAACTGGATATAAGAAATGGAGTGTTTGGCTACCATGGTCATGGCAGGAAAGTTCACTGACTTCTTCAGTAATTGTTTATTTTCAGTTTCCATGTCTGGGTAGGTAAATAGAATTCCCTTTGTCTCTCCTATCCAGTTGCATCCTCCCCACCCAAGGTGTTGCCTTCTACTTAGATATGCCTATGTATTCACAACCGCAATTACCTGTGCCTGTAAGAAAGAACCTGGAGTGTTGGGGAGGGGATGGTGGGAAGGGTACGTTGTAGGGGGAAGTTCACTATTGAGCTGAGTCCCTTCTTTCTTATAATTATTATAGTACTCTCAAGTTAGGATCTCTCTATCTCTTCTGTAACTGAATACAACTCTCCCAATTAGGAAATTGCTGTGGCCCAGACCCTCCTTCAATATGAATCCATCTGCCTCAAGGTAAATCAGGTGAATCACACTATGAGCCCCCAGCAGTGGGTCACTACTGTAGCTCCTTAAGTCCTTTGATTTGACTTTCATTGACTGTCAACGTGCTCTTCTCTTGGTCTTGGGCTCTCCTGTTACAACTTTGAAGTTTTTGAGGGCTCTATTTGTGGAATTTCATATCACTTTCATAGACGAATCATTATGCTTGGGGTTAATCATGGACAAGTCTGCCTTTCTTTTACTCTGATGGCATCTGCCTCATATTTTGCAGAAAAGGAACTGAAAATTTCAGGACATGTATAGATTTTTTCTTACTCTTAAAGTCTTTCTCTGGGCAGTTCAGCAACATCTTGAAGGGAAGGAAGGAACGTAAATTAAAAAGACTTGCTCAAATGCCCGAGTTAAAATAGATGTCAATTTGCACTCGAGTATAGAGTCCAATAAAACTTATTATTAATACATGCAACGTTTTTCCTTTATTCTAAGTTTCAATAATCCTGTGACTGAAAGCAAGACTCTTCTTTCTCTTCTGAATTTCTCTATAAAATTAGAGTATATTTCTCATATTATCCACAAAAATATAAAAATTATATGTTTCATATTTTAAAACAAGGTAGGCATTTATTTAAGTAATAACTAATAAGTAAAAAAAAATGATTTATAAAAAGTTAGGAGAATGTGGCAGGAGTCGAATGTTTGCAGAGAGAGAAGGTCTAAAACTGAAAAAATGTGATATAAACCAATGCTTTCAAACTATGGAGAAAAATACCAGATAAAATAGCTACAATATTTGAGTGTTTTTACTGAAAGACAGAATGTGGGGAAGAGGGCAGTGGTCAAATGGGAGTACTTCAGGTTTTCACAATAAACCTTAAGTATAATTTATGTTTTTAAATGATGTAGGCATATTACCCTGATAAAAGTAGAAATTTCACGAAAGAGTAGAATTTTCATAAAAGAGTAGAATTTCATAAAAACAAAATTTACTGATCTTCACATTTTAAGAAATTTTACAAAGAAGCTTTAAATATGAATGAGGACAATGGCAATTAAAACATCTAGGTTAAAAGGTATTGCCGGAGTATATGTAAGCCAGGCTCACTCATTCGTTTTAATTACTGTCACAAAACTGTCAAGAAAAACCACATAGTAAAGTCCAGATATGAATATTCTCCCTTCCATCAGCATCCAATTCTACAATTATTTAGAAATTGCTAATTAATTTTGCTCCAGCTTTGAAAAACCAGTATAAGTGAACTCCTTATGAATTTAATTAAATGTCCAAATAAAAGATACTATCAGTATCTCTAAAATTACAAAATCATTTTAAACAGTAATGAAGCAACCCTACTTCAGTTTTTTTTCTCAATTTTTATTTAGAAAGTTCAGTGAAACAACATATCACAGTTTAGAAATATTTTAATCTCACTATAATTTAACACTTACAAAATTTAGTAAGTTTTGATTTTCAACAATAAAATTTATAAAAATAATTTTACATTTATAAAATGAATCACTATTTCACAATAAATTATTCATATTTATTACCTGAAAAAAAGTTTTGTGCTATATAAAAGCAGTAAGTTTCATTATCAATATTTTGAAAATATGCTGAAAACTTCAGTTCCTCTTTGCCCAGCATTTTTGGCAGTTAAGTATACAAAAATATTATATTAAAAATTCCCTGACCATAGTTATTAAAACAAAATTGTTAGCAATAATTTCTAAAACAAAGTTTGTTTAGTAAGTATATGCAGATAAGTTAAAGGGCTTGCTAAAAATGAATTTTATGTTTTATATTTTAAAGATTTTTTAAATATCTATTAAGAGAACAGCACAAAAAGTTAAACAGAGGTCTACAAAAGACATTTGTATTTTTAAAGATGAAAAGCATGAAACGGAGATGCTAGAGTAAATTTCCACAAAATAAGAGTTAAGTAAACCTTCCTCTTCCCTCATTCATTTTCAAAGGTATATTTTATAGTTTTCCAGTACCAGCTATTGAAGGAATTTTGATTTTATTTAAATCAATAATACCTTCTAATAAATCATTTCCCACTCTGAGTTAATAAGTTAGTTAACATTAACAGAACCCTTTTCTTTATAGAATTAAGTGGGGATTATGAAATTTCAGAAATTTTGAGGTTCTGTAAAAATCACGGAATTCAGGTTCGGACACTATTTTTTAGATTACTGATAATTACTCAACCAGTATTTCCCTGCTTCTGAATAAATGTGTATGGTGTGTGTATGTGTGAGAGAGAGGTCACTGTTTCCTGAGGTGGTCCAACATTAACTGTTTTAAATAAGCTTCAGCTTTAAATCAAATAAGGTTTCCAATGAACTATACTCCTCAGTCCACTGGATTTTTGAAAATCTGCCGAGTCAGTGATTTGAATGTGTTTGTTTTCATCATAACCTATCTGGGATTCTATCTTTTATTTTTTTTAATTTGTTTTCAAATGTTTCTTTTTGGTGGGGGGCGAAGACATTAAAACTACAACAGTGGTTTCTTATTCACGCTGCAACAAATTTACACTCATTGATTACATGTGAGTATGTGCTAAGGTGACAGGATGGACAGTATTCAGTCATCTCTCAATTGTATACATTTAAAGACCATAGTGAGAAGCTCACATTTTTCATTCCACCTCAAAGATTTATTCTCATTCAAGTCAAATAGACCTGGGCGTGAAGCTGGTGGCTCTCCTACTCCTCAGGTTTATGAATGTTTGTTACCTGTGAGTCTTAGGTGTGACAACACACGGGTGACAGATGGGGGTTTGTCTCCCAATAGCACTCTCCCAGACTGGTGCAATTTAGTGGGCTTGAGGCTTGCCACCTAAAGGCTGCTCTCCCAGCCTTGCTGGGAACTGGATGTGAACATGTGCTAAGTTCTAGTCAATGGTGACTACTTCTAGATTGTTTTAGGAGAGAAAATCAATGTCTCTCTTGGTTGAGCCGCTGTTTTAAGGGTTTCCTTTTTTTTTTTTTTTCCCTTAAACCATTTATCCTGTATCCTAACTGGTAAAACAAACATGTTTTACCTCAAGGTACATCTTCAAATAGAGGCAGATTATACGGAATAGCCAGTCATCCTTGGAATGGCTTTTTATGACTTCCTAAGCTAAAGATGGGCATATTTAACTGTGGGCCAGAAAGATGCTTTTTAGCCACAGGATACCCACAAGCGATCCTTCCTCAAAGAAATATTTCCTGTTGTATAGCAACTGCTTTAATTTTCTAATTGGCAAGTTTAAAATTGATAAAAAACAAAACAACAACAACAAAAAACCTTGGTTCATTGTACATTAATCTGGAGTTGCTGATTTACTGCTCTGGTCAAAAAAGACGACTTAGTTCTGCATCACATCACAACGAAGCAATTATTTACAGATTTAAATTAATATCAAGACAACAAATGAAAACAGTACATAAGATTCAACTAGTTCAGGGACAGTGCAAGGGAAGTTGGAAAAATACACTATACAGACATGTGGAAATTCAGATATACACTGCTCGCACTGGAAAGTTTTAAACAATAGGGACAACAAACAAAAGGAGCCTATAAACAAAAAAAAAACCAGGATCCCATCTTACAACAGCACCATAAAGAAGCCTTGGCTCAAAGTTTGCCAAAAGTACTATCCTGAGTTATGTCAAGACCAACAAGTTTTCACATTTACGCAGTGCCATTCAGGAGTAAACACACTCTCACAATTGCTTTTGTTTGGAGAGAGGCTGGTGTGAAATCACCGAAGCTTGGTTGACGGCTATTTTGTACTGTTCTTGTCCAGAGCCCTGTGGTGGGGAAGGGAGCGGGGTCTCAGGAGTTGCTAAAAGAGAAGCAGAGAATTTGATGTGAGGGTGACCCAGGAAGTACTGCGTGACACCAATATGCATTATTTTATTTTGGAGATATTTTTATTTTTATTTTTTGGAGATATTTTTTAAAAGATAATAGATAAAGTAGGATTATCTAATACATTAGGAGCTCCTTGAAGACCTATTGGAGTTGCACTGCCTTCTGAACTCTCAGATAGCATTCAAATGGAATAGAGCATGCTTGCACATCTTTTTTTTGTTTTTTCCAAGATTTTAAAATTTATATATTTAAGAGAGAGACAGAGATTGCTAGAGAGGGAGCAGGAGTGAGGAAGAGAAGGAGAAGCAGGCTTCCTGCTGAGAAGTGAGCCTGACATGGGGCTGAATCCCAGGACCCTGGGATCATGACCTGAGCTTAAGGCAGACACTTAAGCGACTGAGCCACTCAGGAGCCCCATACTTGAACATTTTATTTTATTTTTTTTAAAGATTTTATTTATTTTCATTTGACAGAGAGAGACCACAAGTAGGCAGAGAGGCAGTCAGAGAGAGAGAGAGGAGGAGGAAGCAGGGTCCCTGCTGAGCAGAGAGCCTGATGCAGGACTCGATCCCAGGACCCTGAAATCATGACCTGAGCCGAAGGCAGAGGCTTAACCCACTGAGCCACGCTGGCGCCCCTGAACATTTTAATAGTCTCTTAATAGTCCCTTAAAAGTCACTTCCTGCCTTTCTTAACAGCATTTATGAGCATTTCATTCTCTTACAGACACAGCAGGAAAAAAAGTCAACAAAAACAATTAACAAAAGGCTATTTTTTTTTTCAAATCTTAGAAAACGTCACAGTTTTTGCAATAAAAAATGCACATAAAATAAAATATATTTGGTTTGGATTCCACTAACTCAAAATATTAGATGACATTAAAAGTTAAGATACTTTTCAAGTGCTTTGAAACCTATATGACAGGTAAAAGCATCTGAAAAATACCAACTTTTTTGTTTCAAAATTATTCTGTTACCACTGAGCTCATCTATCCCTTCTCCATTGATGCAAAGAACCAGCCCAAGTAATTGAAAAATAAAGTTACAGCTTGAATACTTCATTGCGTAGAATAGTATATCCTCCCATTGCAAACTTTTACTATATTATAAAATAATCTAGGAACTAGTCTAGGCCTTTAATTTTTAAAGACCTGAAATATTTTAACATTTACATTTATTACCATTCCACATATTTAACAGAACAAGTAGAAAATGTTTGATGATCATACTGAGGCACTGCAAACTTTATAGATTTTTTCCCCAAAATAGCTTTTAAAAATTCTATACAAAAATAAGCAAAGTTCCCTTTTGCCTCATTTTCTTTAATGTATTGACTTTATATTATTAAATATGGCTTAGCAATTATTTAGAACCCACATTTTTAGGTATAGCTTAATTGACAAAAGGATAACCATATTTGTTTAAAAAATTATTTCTGGATATTTGGGATGAATCTAAGACTACAATGGTCTGCTCTAAAAGGCCAGAAAAATAACACATGAGCTTAAATTTGTGTGTGTGTGTTTGATGTTTTGCTTTGTACGAAACAAATGATTCTTATAAACATTATGCTGAAAGAGGGAAAATAAAGATGAAAAATAGGATGTGATTTTAAAAAGATTAGAGTCAGTAAATATGCTTTCAAAAATACTAGAAAACTAGCATTTAAAAAGTAAAAGATTCAACCACCAGCAGAATCGTTAAACTTTCTTGCCAGTTGATGCCTACAATGTTTAATATGCTGTTAATGTGTTTTATTTTCTGAGTTTATGAATAACTCATCTCTAAGAGAGATGGTAATGGGCTTCCCTCTCTGCTCTTGACTATGAATTGAAAACGGTAACATATGCTTTGCAAGGATGGTCCCAAATTAATGTCTTTCAAGTACATTTATAGCCACAGGTTATACTATTTCTGTAAGTTGTGTATATATATATATATATATATATATATATATATATATATATATTTTAACAATTTTACTTCTGCTCTATCATATATTCAAAGAACTTTGTGTTTCAGACACAATTTACACATAGGTTTCCCAGTACTTGTATCTAAGGGATAGCAGTGGTAATAAGTATTTCTGTGGCCTCTACTTTTCATATCACTAGGTAGCAGTGAGATCATATGCACTGAATTGTTACATTTCATTGAACATTTCCATGAAACCACATTGTAACTAGTTATTAAAGGTTGCTGTAAAGTCAGTAGGTAATACCAGTATGCATCATAATTACATGACAATAACTCATGGAATCTCAGTGAGTCAGCTGGTTTCATGTTAAGAGGAGATACATCCGGACACCTGGGTGGCTCAGTTAGTTAAGTGTCTGCCTTCAGCTCAGGTCATGATCCTAGGGTCCTGGGATGGAGACGGAGCCCTACATCGGGGGTCCTGGCTCAGCAGGGAGTCTCCTTGTCCCTCTTCCTCTACCCCTCCCCTATGTTTGTGCTCTCTTTTTCTCTCTCTAATAAACAGATAAAATCTTAAAAAAAAAGAGAGAGAGAGAGATACATCCAAGGCAAATCTGAGATTACTTAGTATAAATTCAGACACAATTCTAGAAAGTTTGTCAAATAGAGGTTTTTATCTCTGAGGTAGCTTAAAAATTAGAATTTGTGTTAAATCTGCAACACTATCAGCTACTAACCCCTACTATTCATACAATCATTTTAGTTCCAAAGAGCTTTCCCAGAGGCCTCACTCTGCACAAATCTGACATGCACAAATTTCAGTTATCACAGCTTGGGTAAACAGCACCAGTCCTATAAAAACATGGTTCAAATTTCAGCGAGCTCGGTAACTCACAACTAACTGTGAGTAACTTGATACATAGAAACTTCACCCGTTAACTCTCTGGTCTATGTTACTTAGCTCAGTAACAGATGTGCATTATGATCAGTGACCAATCACATCACATCTTTAAGTTTGTCTGTGACTGGTCACTGAATACATTTTATTCAGTTCGTATACTGACAACTTTAATTGTGTAGCTGTGTTGCCTCCTTGTCTCCTAGTGATAAATTCCCATATTCTCATGACACTTAGCAAAAACTGGGTAAAGTAAAATTGGCAAAAGAAAAAAAGAAAAAGAAACAAAAAGTGATTATGCTAGAAGTGAATGGAGCATGGATGGAGTCAGACAAGAATTAGCTGCCCCTGGGAATGCAGATGTTGTTGCTGTTTGAGTCTCTAAACCTGCATTCTAGAGCTTAGTGAAGGAGAACTGATGGACATTAGTGAAGAAACTGATTGTGCTGAAAAGGATGAAGATGTCCCTGAGGAAGTGAAACCTGTTAAAACAAAACAAAACAAAACAACAAAACTTCACATTAAATGGATTCTCAGAGACACTTCAGAGATGGAAAGTGCAAAGGAAAATGTTGGAAGCCAATCCAAACTTCCAAAACAGTAAAATTCATCAAGGCATAAAAAAGATGCTCACTTCCACTTACAAGTTAGAGGAGGAGAAGGTGGCAAGCACTGTTTGAGCTACACTTCATAATTTTTTTAAAGACTTTATTTCTTTATTTTAAAGAGGGAGAGCACACACGAGTGATGGGGAGGAGCAGAGGGAGGAGAAGCAAACTCCCCACTGAGCAGGATTCTGGGATCAAGACCTGAGCCAAAAGCAGACACTTAACCAACTGAGCCACCCAGATGCCCCTACACTTCATAAATTTTTTAACAAAGAAATAAAACATGCTGATGAATCTAATGTTTATATTACAATGAACTAAATAAATCTCAGGATTATTATTTTTTAATTTCTCACGACATTTATAACCTGTAGTTAAGAGAGTTCTTAAAGTTTTGGCAAACATTTTTAAAGGTCACAAGCGAACTATAATTTTCCTATTGATTATTAAGATTTCTTTGCATGGGTCCAGCTTGCACAGTCCTTCTTACAGTCCTGCATGACCAGGCAATACCAGGACTGCCCTTACATCCTGGTGTACTTTGGAAGCATTTATGTGCTCACATCCTATTTTAGGGAGCAAGGTCAGGCCTAAAGAGAATAAGTGAATTGCTGAACGTCAGAATCTCCCACAACTGAGTCCTAGAGAGGAAATGGTACCTAATTTTTTGCAATTTCTGGATACTGACAGATTCTTTCCCCAAATCCCACTTTTCCTCAGACAATTAAGTTTAAAAAGTATCACAGTTGAAAACCAACTGAGGGTTGCCGGGGGCAGGGGTCGGGAGAGGGTGGTGGGGTTATGGACATTAGGGAGGGTATGTGCTATGGTGAGTGCTGTGAAGTGTGTAAACCTGGCGATTCACAGACCTGTACCCCTGGGGCTAATAATACACTATGTGTTTATAAAAAAATTTTAAAAATAATAAAAAAAAAAAAGTATCACGGTTGAAAAGTGGCCCAGATACTTACAGATCTGGTCCGTATGAACCAGTGTTGACATGGAACCTAAAAGTATAGTTTGTCCAGTTAATGGATCTTGAGACAAATGTGGATGCATGGGATGATGGAGATGACTAGCGTCATTGGAAGCACCTACAGAAGATAAAAAAGATGCTTGCATCAGTGAAATTTAATCAGGGACACTAGCAAGTTTACCTTGCAACAAATGTTCTGATTGACAGCTTGAATATTGCTATTTTGGCAAAGTGCTTTTTGGGATTTCAAAAAGAAATTAATAGAACTGCTGCCATATTAAGGACAATGTCAGCTTTCACTGTGCATTGGTTAGATTAATGTTGTATCATATTATGTTGTATATTAATAATGGACCTTGTGTGCCGTTTCCTGGAATCATTAGGTTTGCTGCCTGTTGTTAAGGCAATTCCAAGAATCACTTACCTCAAGTTTATAGTATTTGGGATCACACTAATAGCATAAACAACTTTTATTTCAGAAAGATGTCATTAGGAACACATTAAGTACCAGAAAACTAAAACTAAAATAAAATAAAATAAAGTGATTTTACAAGGAAATTTAATCTAGATCAGAGCACAAAATAAATGATTTCTTAACTCATTCCTGACATTTATTGCCTCAACGAAATCTCATTTTTCCCTTTTTGTTGTGTTATGTCAATTAATTATTTCAGGAGCAAAGTGTTTATTTTTCAGATTTTTACTATGAATATTTTTAGGTTATGTTGCAATGCTGGTATCCTTGAGCTTTCAAAGGAGTCAAGGCTTAAAAATATACAATTCACCCCAAGGAGTACTAAAAATAGGAAGTATTTTTCTATTTACCATATTTGAAAGAATAAAATCTAAGGCAAGAGGAACTGTATAGCATAAAGATGGTGGACACTAGTAAGAATGAGGATTTCAATACGTTCAAGTATTTTTGTCTCCATCCAATGGGTTCTGCAGACTTTCTTAAATGTAAAAACCTGAGTACCGTATGTCACAGGCAAAAAATCAGTAGGTCAACCTTGTACAGAGTGGGATGCCCAGATATAAAATGGAAATTCTTAACTGTACTCACCACCCAGTAACATTTCTTGAAGTAGGTTGTCGATTTTAACCATCCCAAAAAGCTTCACGAACTGTATTTGCTCAATCATTTGCCAAGTGATGCTTTGCAGCGTGGGCAGGAGCAGAAGCAACTCGCCAAACCTCCCCCGGGAGTCGTACTGCCGGTCGTTGATGTAGTCCTCCAAACTGAGCTGCACTTGGAACCTCATGTTCTTAATCTTTACCGGATCACTCAGCCCTTTTGCGTCTAATAAAGGAAGAAAAGAGCAATCTAAAGATTGAATCTTACTAGAGTGTGAGAGTAAACAGTCTAATATGAAGTAATAGTTTAGTTTTCATTATCATTATTTTTTAATGGAATTCTGAAAACAAACCTGGATCAAAAAATACGATTGCCTTCAAACAAGCGTATTCGTTGTCATCTATCTGAATTTCTTGAAACGGTCGTACCAGCTCGTCTAGAACCCGGTTGGCCACACGGCTGATCTCAACTTCACTGCTGTTACGGTGAATTACATAGTTGTTCCCTGGGGAAAAAAAAAAAAAAAGGTCAGCCACCTCCCCAACAAAAGACCGTCAGATATGATTTAATTTTTTTTTTAAAGATTTTATTTATTTATTTGACAGAGAGATCACAAGCAGGCAGAGAGGCAGGCAGAGAGAGAGGAGGAAGCAGGCTCCCCTAGAGAGCAGAGAGCCCGATGCGGGGCTCGATCCCAGGACTCTGAGATCATGACCTGAGCCGAAGGCAGCGGCTTAACCCACTGAGCCACCCAGGCGCCCCATGATTTAATTTTTTACACATCAATGTTTTATATGGTTCTTCTCTTGAAGGAGTAGTAATAGTACTTCCTCTCAGCAGTGTTAGGTCAGTTATGTTAGAAAAACTTAAGAACACGTCAAGGATCAATGACATTGATAATATGATCACATGCATTTTAACAGCCTCAGTCACTAGTGATAACATAAAAGTACAGACCAATAACAAGCTAATAATTGACAAGGGAGAAACAAAATGTAATGATTAGCTTTCCACTATGTCAGTTATCTCTTAGTGTCTTACTCATTAAAGAGTGTAACACAAAACCTAAAGAAACTTCCTTGTTTACACTGGATAAAAATAGGACTCCTTTAGTGGTCTAGGTATATGTAGCTGTAATAACTCTCGAGACACAATTTTAACAAGTCTAAGTAGGTGAATTCTAGAAAGTTCCGAAATTCCATAGAGACTAGACTACCTAATCCCTAAGGACGCTCTAATTTCAAAATCTCTGGCTATAATGACAATAATGACAAAAGCTCCTAACAAAACAGCTAGGTTGCTATTTTCTGGTTTTGTAAAAAGCAGAATATTCTGAATTCTTTCACTGCAGGCAAGATAATCTTCAGTGTAACAACACGTGCCAAAGAACTCGAAAAATGTAACCCTGTTCCTCTTATGAAAAGTCAGTTTACCTAATTATTCACGGCAAAACAATTTAGAACTAGGTAGCAAAGACATTTGGGTTTTTAGGTATATTGTATTCAAATCTATATTGAGAACAGTATGAGAGCAGTCTTCTAAATACGAGAGTATTTAACAGAATCTAGGAGCATAGTCTCTAAGTCCCATTATGCAGTTTAGAATCCTGGCTCTATCCCTCACTAGGTTTGTAACTTTACGTAAACTTTCTCTGCAGGCATTTCTCCACCTACAGAATAACAATACCTACCCCTCAGGGTCATCATGAGGATTACACGAGATAGTGTGTGTTTACATGTAAAGCACGAAGAGATATGCATCTTACATAGTATGTCCTCAGCAAATATTAGCTATCGTTATATTACATTCAATTTATTTCTATTTTGGGACATAACATCTATCACAAAAATAGAATAAACAATCTGGTCACCATTTCATACAGCCAGAGAGAGGTGGAGGTAATAATTATTCCAGGAACCTCAACTCTCTCAATAGGAAACCTAATTTAAAAGGTAAGTAAGGTGTGGGGGATTGGAACAATTAAGGAAAACGAGAGCTTTCCCTTTGTGTCTTATCTCTCGTTCAACCTGCCATCCTACTTTTGCCTCTTCCGGTACTGCTACTTAACTATCAGAATTCTCAGACACAGTCACCAAATTATTTTTTTTAACTCGGGATTTTGCATCATACTGTTAGCCACGATATCCTAGGAAATAAACATGTTCCTTCACGTGTATAAAACAATATAATTACAAGTATTAAGTAGACACTGAAGGAGTGTGAAACAACACCGAGACTCCAATGAAATGTTCACACAGATCACTAACTCTTTGTCCTGTAATGATTTAAACATAATTCAATATTATGTTTATTGAGCAACAGCTCACTTTTATTTTTAAATTTTTCTCCTTCAGTGTCATTGAGAAATTATTGACCTATATCACTGTATAAGTTTAAGGTGTACAGCACAATGATTGGATTTACATATATTGTGAAATAATTACCATGATAGTTTCAGCTCATGTCCATTTTCTCATCGATACAATAAAAAGAGAAGGAAACAAAATCCCCTTGTGATGAGAATGCTTAGAATTTACTCTCTTCACAATTTGCCCACATATTATACAGCAAGTGTTTATAGTCACCACGTTGTATGCTGTATCCCTAGTATTTATTTAACTTCCAACTGGAAGTTTGTACCTTGTAACCACGTTCTCCAATTCTTATTTTTAAATCTCAAGGCACCCTGAATGTCTCAATGTCCTCTAAACTTCCTTGCAATCAAGTCAAGGAAAGATAGGGCCTTGAGTGAGGACACAATCAATTAAATCCAATTTGTAAAGTAAGAGTACCATTAGACAGTGTCTATGAATGCTTGGTACATACAGAATAGACCCTGTGTAAGGATGAAGCATGCATAATTTCTTCTTAAATTAAAAAAAACAAAAAAAAACAAAAAAAAAACTTACCCAAAAGCAAAATATCTTTGTACACCATGGATCTCTTCGTAGCTCCAAGCAGTAAATGTTCTCCTGCGTGAGCTCTCAACAGTGCCACCTTAATGAAAAATTTCAAGTTTAACAGTTAATTATAAAATATGATGATTAGAAGATGTTATAATATGTGTCTGATTAACTCAGCGTTCTTTAAGCCTGGGATCTTTTTTGTTGTTGTTGTTTTAATAAACTGTAAAATTCATAGAGACTTGCCATCACTAAGCTTTCTATTTTTCTATTTTACCATGTCAACAGAGTTTTACTTTTCAAAAATCTAAAACTTCCAAGTCAACAGAAAGGAAACAAACCACCACCACCAACAACAAAAAGCAGAAAGAAAAGTGTTTTAGGATGAAAGAGAATCAAACAAAGCAGAGTTCAAATCCTGGCTTGGCCATGTACTATCTGTTCAACCTTAGATAAGCTCACCAGTAAGCTTGGGACTCTTTTGTTTTCATCTATCAAATGGAGGCAGTGATAAAAATCTCCAAGTGTAGTCAGAGGACTACATAAGAAAGTAAATGTAAAACACACTCTGTTACACATAATAAACTGAATAAACAAAAGCAAGGGAGGACTTGTGAAGAGGATGGGTGATCTGCTTGCTGACACTTTCTAGATTGAACCTCTAACTCTTTGCACTAAGCTCTCAACTGAGCTCTATGCATATACTCAACTGCCTACTTATCATCACCACCAGGAAGAACAGGAAGCATTCCAAATATAACACATCAAATTAATGTGTCTCCAACATCTTCATCGTCTTAGTAAATGGCCCCATCATCCAAAATACTCATTCATGTCAGAAACAAGAGTCCATTTTGATTCTATTCTAATTGTACAGCAAATCTAGGCACTGCTTCGCCATTGCTCCCACCCCCCCACTCCCCCCCCCCCCCCCCCCCCCCCCACCCCCCCTCCCCATGGAGCCTTTGTCATTCTTCATCTTGCCTAGCCTGAGCTAATAGGTATGCCCGCTTCCTTTCTGGTTCCTCCATCCTAAATCCTTGACAGAGCTTCCCAGAACATATTTTCAAGATAATAATCACTTAATATCACTCCTCTGCTGAAAACTCTTCACTGGTTCCTTATTATCTTTACGATAAACCCCAAACTCCTTAACCTTGGCCTCGCTTTGCCCACACCCACTTCTCTGGTTTTATCTTTCCACATCCCTTGTTCACTTTTCTCAAGGCACATTATTCCTACTTGCCTCAGACCCTTTGAACGTGATGTTCCTGTCCCTGGAATGCTTTGTCCTCAGATCTTGGCATGCCTGGCCCCTTGTCATTCAGGTCTCAGGAAAAATGTCTAATCTCCAACTTAATGTATGTCTTCCCATTCCACTCCAGTTATTCTCCAACTCATTCCATTCTGTTTTATAGAACTTATCCCCACCTAGAATTGACTTACTCATAATCTGTATATTTTTTATTGTCTGTCTCTCCCAAATAGAGTGCAAACTTTATGAGAATAGTGATGCAATCTGTATTTTTATTGCCAAATCCTCACAGTTCCTAAAACTGAAATGTAGTCCTACTAAATATTTGTTTGATGAATTTTCTGAGTGAATTTCACTGATCTAGGGTCAGTTTTAAACACTGTTAAGTGGAGATAATAACATTTATGCCAGAGCTCTTGAGAGGACTAAATAAACTAATGTAATATATAATGCAACTGAAAGCTACTTCTATTAGTGACTTAACCACAATGGACATTTGCCAATCCATGGCTATTAATGTTATACTGTTAGTATTCAAGTGTCCTTTGGTAAATACAAACTCTTTCTGGCAGGTTACTGGATTTTAATTTTCCAATTTTAAAATCATTGTCTTCATACACAAGTCAGCAACTTTTAAAGAGGAGTGATAATAAAAATATTAAAATGATAAATAACATAACCCTACTTATATGGCTTGAGGTGAGACACACACATATGTTTTAGCAATTTAGCATTATTCATTCTGAAATAACCTTCCGAGCCAAGCTATCTTTATGATATGTCAATAACCCTGACTCACACCAGGAAGGCAGTTACAGAACATTTTAAGAATGATTTCAGATTTCATAGCACTTTTTTTTTTTTTTTTTTTTTGGTTCGCTATGTGAAATGCTGTCTTAGAAATATAACTGCTGACTTCCTATGATCACTTTTCATTCTGGTTGTGTAAATATTTTGCCCTTCCTGGATTTTTTAAACAATCACGCACCTTTCCCTTTGATCGTTTCTTTGTTTTTGTGTATTAGTGGTAAAGGGCACTGGTCAGAAGGTATAAAAATATATGCTAGGTATACATACGATGGTTTACTCAATGTGGCAGAATAAAAATTTTCAAACTACTGGCATCTACAAAATATTATTAACTACTTAGATGGAAGCATTCAAAATGAATCTGAAGTGAATAATCTAGTTTTCATAGACTACGAAATTAAAATTCTTAGCTATTAATTAAAATGTCTTAAGGTATATATTACAAAATATGAAAATATATGTAATAGGAAAAGATTATTGTATCTGAATTCTATCTCTCTGTACATTTCAGAGTATGATTCTAGAGATATTTTTTGCCAGATATATTCTTTTTATATAGTGAATGCTAGAATAAAATTGACAGCATGAAAGGCAAAATTTTATGTTAATTGAATAAAGTGCCTACAAAGACACAACATAACCTATGTGGTTTCTGTCTATGAGTGGTCTGGTTTTTCAGTGGAATTTTATATGGCACCTTCCATAAACACCAAGACCCAACAGCGTACCACTTGCCTTCAGATATTTATTCTGCCAATACTTTTCTCACAATGGCAGTTCCTTGCTATCTGTTTTTCTTCCTCACTAAAGCTTTTTAAACTCTAGGAGGGAAGAACCCTGTCTTCCTCAACTTCACCCAATAAATAAATCGCAGGACCCCTAAAATAGAAGTTAAATAGTTGTGCCTTTTGAGAGAACAAGGTGAACAGACAAGAAAACCAATCTTTTTCTCATAACTGAATCTTTGTTAAATATGGTCAATCTACTATAAACATAATTTAAAAAACACAAAAACATAGCAAAGTTAGAAAAAAATTCCGAAAGCACTCATGACATCTTTTAACTATACCTGGTCATCCAGTGGCAACTCACAGAAGGCAGGAATATATTTAGCCCATTCCACCAAGACGAGGAGCTGTTGTTTCATGGACTCACAGACATCACCGATACTTGCAATCTTCTTAACGTTTATGTCAGTGCTTGAGCCGGGGCTGGAGACTGAGATCTAGCATGAAGATCACATTAATTTACCATTTAAAATAATAATGAGCAGTATTTCTCTTTTTTCTATGACTTCAACAAGTACACAGCTTTGAAGTGGGCACGCTCATTGCCACAGTATCTTGACATACACGGAACATTTTAAAATTGAGACAAACATACCTCTCAGTACGAGCTAAATTGTAAATATTCACTGCACAGTACTATGTTCTGGGAGCAGTACCTTTTTTACTGGCAAAACCATAAAATAAGTTACTCAACTTCCAGGATTTTCCTAATTCAAAATGACTATGCAAAAAAATACGCCATAGTCACATGGAACATGCTTTGTGATTTTATTTTTACAGAAAAAAAAAAAAAAAAAAAATGTTTCCAGTGGATACAGTTTACCAAACAGGAAAAACGATTTAGAAGAGAAGTCAGAACTAGCAATGTTGCTTCATGACACGGAAGCCCACCAAAGTAAAATTAAGAAACCAACTTTTGACTCAGCAACATTGAGAAGCTTAACCTGTACTGAAAAAATTTTTCAATTATATATAATTTTGAACTATATAAAATATAAGTGGTTTTAAGATGTTTTTCTGCTAAAATTGCTTTCTAAAAGTTCTTATAAACTTAATTTTTGAACATATATGTGTGTGTGTGCATGCATGCGTGTGTCTATCTATGTGTATGTCTATTTCTTCACAGCCTCCTAAGCCATTCTGCAAACACTCTATAGGATCATTAAGTAATCAAGGATTGATGATAATGGAGATGTTAGGCTCATCATACCACCCTCGTGCTATCAAAAATGAAAGTAGTTGCACTGACTCATTATAGAACCTGATTAATAGTTAGCTATTTCATAATTTTTTATAATAGAAAAATATCATTAACTTTTCTCATGGGGCAATGCTAAAATAAACTGTCTTCAAAAGGTTTTCTTATTTGATCCTTTTTTTTTTTTTTTTTTTTTTACACTGACCAGTTTATCATAAAAAATACAATTCAGGAAAAACCAAATGGAAAAGATGCATTGAACAAGATAGATAGGTAGGGGTGTGGAGTGGTGGAAAGCTTCCATGCCTTCTGCAGGGAAATCACTTTTCCAAAATGTTGACTTGTTCACCAACCTGTTTGTTGTTCCAAGCGTTTTTATAACCCAGTCTTCAGCCCCCTCTCTTCACAGATAGCCAGTGGGTGGGGTTGAAATTTCCAATCCTTGAATCCCAATTTGGTCCTTCTGGGACCCACCCTATGTCACCTCATTAGCATAAACCCTGAAGAGGTCTGTTGGAGATTTTATGACTAACAAAAGGCTCTCTTATCACTCAGGAAATTGCAAGGATTTTAAGTCTTCTTTTTTTTTTTTTTTTTTTTAAGTAGGCTCCACGCCCAGTGTGGAGCCCAACATGGGCCTTGAGTTCACAATCCTGAGATTATGACCTGAACTGAGATCAAGAGTCAGATGTTCAACCACCAGAGCCACCCTGGCGCCCTTCTTCATTTGATTCTTAAATGATTTATTTTTATGTATATAACTAATGACAAATAATTTTAAACTTTGGAACTGATATTCTCATTCTAGAAATTTAAAATAATAAACTCCTTCTCCATTGGTTTCTGGATTCTGGTTCTTCCCTTAAATACTTGTTTCCAAAACGGATGCCAAGGTGAATTCTTTAGTTCAGAAACCATTTTCAAAGAAGGAAGCCCTGAGGTTAGGTCTCAACCAAGCTTCCCAAAAGTCACAGTAACTGATTTTACAGACGTAATCAGTAAAGTAAGCTCCTGCCCCCAGAGGATTGTGCTACGCATTCAGTATTATAAACCAACCTTGTAAACAAACTTTCATTTAACAACATTAGACTGAAATACATTGCATTTTTCTGTTTAAAAACAGGAAGTTGTCCAGGAAGAGTCAAAATTAAGTCAACATTTCACCTAATATTTTCAAAGTAAAACTGTAGTTCATTTTAGAAGTGAGCCCATTTAAATGAACTTAGATTATTTTTGAGTTATGCCTAAATAGACATTTGATTCTGTTGGACAAGACTGATGCTGGAGTGCCGCAGGTACCTGGCGAGACCGAATTTCTGCTTGAGCCAGTGTGTTAATGGAGGGGATGTTGCTGCCATCAAATGCGCTTCTTCTGGTGCTTATTCTATCCCGTTCGTTTTGCACAGCTAGGAGAGAAAAATCGCAGTATTCATTGGTCAGTTCTTTTCACTACATGTCAGGAAATACAGTTTTAAATTTAAAAATAATAGTATAAAAAGAAAGAAGGGCTTAAGGGGCAGAGGGGAAACCATGTTATGACTGAGGCTATTTTTCATTCTGCACCACTTTTAAAAAGAAGGCCAAGCCTGTCATTAGATCTCATAAAATATTGCCTTTTGAAACTTCATGATCGTAGGCGTGTCAGAAAGCATTGGGTCAGTCAGTTCAACCACGCAGTATCTGTGATAGGATGGTTTTTCCATTCTCTCAACGTTAATAAAACTATAAGATAAGTAGAGGAAGAGTATCGCCTGTGAGATTGACGAAGGTAAAGAACATATCCACCATCAGAAGATAGGAATCACAGATTTTGAAATTTCCATTTTTTTTTTCTCAAACACTAGGAGAAATGGAAAATGAATTTTATTTAGGAAAGGTGATTTTAAGCTTGCAATCTCATGATCTCTTATGAAACAATGTGCTTGGGACAGTTAACAAACGATAATAAAGCAAAAGTTGCAGGAAGGGGTGTCTTCTGAGGAGACTAAGGTTTGAACATCAGCATTTTGGAAGGGTGAAGACATCTTAAGTATCATATAAAAAGCTTCTAGGAGAGAGCTAGATCTACTTGTTTCAGAAAGGAAAGGGAAAGTAATGTGTGTTTCTGAATTCCTTATTGAAAACTAGAGTTTATTTAATTAATTTATTTTTTTAAACATTTTATTTATTTAGTTGACAGAGAGAGAGCACAAGTAGGGGAACAAGCAGAGGCAGAGGGAGAGGAAGGAGGAGGCTCCTTGCTGAGGGGAAGCCCAATGTGGGGCTTGATCCCAGGACCCTGGATCATGACCTGAGCTTAAGGCAGATGCTTAACTGACTGAGCCACCCAGGCTCCCTGAAAACTACATTTTAAATATAAGGAAGAGTGAGAGAGGGAGTATTACCTCGTATATTTGTCATATAAAGAATAATATAAGTCAAATATCAATGTTAGACTTACTTACTTATTTTTTAAAGATTTATTTATTTATTTTAAGAGAGAGAGAGAGTGAGTGTAGAAGCGGGAAGGGCAGAGGGAGAAAAAGAGTCTCAAGGAGACACCATGTTTTGGCTCTGACATGGAACTAAAACTCAGAGTCCAATGCTAAACTGACTGAGCCATCCAGGTGCCTCTCAACGTTAGGTTTTAAAACTTAGGAGTTAAATATATCTTCAGTTAACCAAAAAGAATGAAAACAAGGCCTATAGCCCCTAAATTACTTAGATCAATGCTCTACCCTGTTCTGCTGGAGAGAGAAGATATAAAACTATTAGAATTTTTAATTAAATTATTCTTTTATTAAAGAGATGCACCAATTTCTATGCCAAAAGCTACTATCTACCCCATACTTACTATTAGTCATGAAGTCATTAATTTGGAAGAGAAAATACTGGACTTTGCTTTTAAGAGTGAGTAGTGTTGAAGCTGGGAATGAATCATTAATATTTTATCTTAAAATCATATTTACTGGTAGCTTACTCTTTTTTCCCCACAGAAATGGTCATTGATTTTCAGCCTAAACTGAGTCATATGGAAATGCATATGTGGAGATAAAAAATTAAAATGTAAGCTATGCTTTAGTGAATTTCATTTACATGATCAATCCTCAGAAACATACCAAAAGATATTGTGAACATTTGTAATCTTACTGCTATCATTTTTAAAAAAATATTTTGTTTATTTATTTGGCAGAAAGAGATCACAAGTAGGCAGAGAGGCAGGCAGAGAGAGAGAGTGAGGGAGGGAGAAGCAGGCTCCCCGCTGAGCAAAGAGCCCGACTCGGGGCTTGATCCCAGGACCCTGAGATCATGACCTGGGCTGAAGGCAGAGGCTTAACCCACTGAGCCAGCCAGGTGCCCCACTGCTATAATTTTTTACATAAAACCATGTTTATATAGGATTCTATCCAACTAACCTTGGTATTATGTTATTACTGTAAATAAGAGAAATATATCTTCAAAAGTTACTTCCTAATCTATTTAGAAAAAACTAATGCATTATTCTATGAATGGTAGGAGACATAATTTAACTATTTTTGAAAGTAATTTTCTTTCAAAACCTGTGAATTTTTAAAGGAAATAGAGGATTGTGACTTCCTTATACTTATGTAGGAGTAGTGCTGTGGTTCAAATAGAAATAGATGAAATTGATCAACAAAGTATGTAATAAATCCTAAAAACTACTAAATATTGCCATTAGAAATAAGTCATTTTGTAATGACAAAGTGCTTCTCCTTTAATTTTGTAAACTTTATTTTGCCTTCTTTTGGAGACTAGTAATCCAAATGAAACCAATGGAATTTAGGTCTCTTTAAAATATTGTGACAAAGAAAAAACCAGCTATGTTCAAGGTAAGTTTGATATACTTTACATTTCTGTAGTATTTAACTTGATTTTTTTTTTTTATGGTTTGTGAAATAGTTCTGAAAAATATTTCTTGGTATGTAATAGGCATAAGCATGTGAATTGATAAGCATAAAATACTGCAGTGGTTATCTCCTGCCAAATGTCTACATGTGTTCAACAGATTTGTTTCCAAATTAACCACAGTTAGAATGTAGGATAATATAATCAGATTATTTACTACGTTTGAAGTGAAATTAAGAAACAGAGTATGTAGTCCACTGTCTCTGTTCCTCAATGGAATATAAGCTCCCTGAAAGGAAGGACTCTTTTTTCTGTTATGTTCACCACTGAAGCCTTAGCATATGCAACAGTTTTTAGAAAGAAGTGCTCAATAAATATTTGCTAAATAAATAAATCAATGAATAAAAAGTTAATATTCAATCAATGTTTATGAGATAAAGATATTCAATTATTATTGACAATAAATATGTGTTTAAAAATGATGTTTATAATTTCAACCTATTAATAGATTTTGCCATTTCTCTTTTGAACAGGGTATCGGGATATTATTTAGATAATACTTTTCTTTCCAGGTATAACACAGTAGCAGAGGTACTAGTGTCTGGAATCAGACAATCATCAAAGACTGGGTGTCATAGTCCTTGGGTAAATTCTTAAACTTGAAGAAAATCAGAATTCATTTGAAAAAGTTATGTGAATGTCCTTGGGTAAATTCTTAAACTTGAAGAAAATCAGAATTCATTTGAAAAAGTTATGTGAATGCATGAGGATGTATGTGTATAACAATTTCCACCAACAATTATCATTATTATACTATATATTGTTACCTTCTTTCTTCATTCCTGCTCTGAAACACTTTCTTAATCGACAATATCTGCATTGATTCCTTTTGTCCTTGTCAACAACACATTGCCGACTGAACCTATAATATCAAAGATATATTAGTTTGCAGAAAACTGTTTATGAAACAAAAACAAACACACACAGATAAACAGATAAACAGACAAACAGACCTTGGGTATATATGGTCAAATTTGGCCCAACAGGAAGAATGTTAAGAAGAGTTACCTGCAACTTTTCCAGTCTAATGGTCAGCGTGTATGTGAAAATCAAGCTTCACTTCTCATGCAGTCTTTATAATAAAATAAAACTGAATGATATTTGACTTTTCACCAGGATACACACTATACATTATCACTTCTATCCTGAGTTGGGAAAGCCAAACCTAGTTTAAAAATCCTTGGCATGTGAATTCTATTTGCTTATTGCTAAATGATTTCAGTATAATGGAGAATATATCAGAACTTCATTCCTCTGCACTTTCATGCTTTTCTCTTTTAAATATCCTTCTATTAATTTTAAATGTGCCTCAAATGCAACTGAAATTTACTCTAACTGCCAAATTACATATCCAGAGGTGGGTGAAAACAACACTTAAAGTATGGTCTCTGCATAATTAGGTACTATCGCACAGCCACTAAAATGACTATAATCGGAAAAAAAAAAAGAAAAGAAAGAAACAGACAATAACAAGTGTCAATGAGGGCGTGGAAAAACTGGAACCCTCATACACAGCTTTTGTAATATAAAATGATACAGCTGCTTGGCCAAAAGTTCGGCAGTTTTTAAAGAAAAGTTAGACGTTAGAGTTAGCATATGACCCAGCAATTCCACTCCTAGGTATATACACAAAAGAAATGAAAACATATGTTCTCACAGAAATATGCACACAAATGTCCAAATAGCCATGATTCCTAACAGCCAAAATAAAGGGACAACCCAAAAACCCATCAGCTGATGAACAGATAGATAAAATATGGTGCACCTATGCAATGGATATTATTGTCTGCCAATGAATGGGAATGGAGTACTGATACATGCTACAACATGGGTGACCCCTGAAAACACATTCGAAATGAAAGAAGTCAGGCATACCTGAGAGATACTGCTGTTTTGGTTTCAGGCCACCACAATAAAGCTAGTATCATAATTAGGTGAGTCAAATGAAATTTCTTGGTTTCCCAGTGTATATTAAAGTTATGTTTACACTATACCATAATCTACAAAGTGTGCAACAGCACAGTCTAAAATACCAATGTAATACCTTAATTAAAAATATTTTATTGCTAAAAACTGCCAACCATTATCTGAATGTTCCACAATATTGTAACCACTGATCACAGATCATCATAACAAATGTAATAATAATAATGAAAAAGTTTGAAATATTGCAAGAATTACCCAACTGTGACTCACAGACACAAAGTGAGCAAATACTGATTGGAAAATGGCACCAAAAGACTTGCTCAACACAGGGTTGCCACAAATCTTCAATTTGTAAAAAAAAAAAAGCAATGTCTGTGAAGTGCAGTAAAGTGAGGTGTGTTTGTAATTTAATTTACTTCAAATGTCCTTAAGAAACAAATCTATAGAAACAGAAAGTGCATTAATCATTGCCTGTCATTGGAGGGGAGGGAGTTAAGGGAAACAGGGAGCAACAGCTTAAGGGCAGGAGGTCTCTTTACAGGGTGATGAAAATGTTTTAAGTTGGTTGTAGTGATGGTTGCACAACTCTGTGAACATACTCAAAACCTGGATTAAACACTTAAAAATATTAAAATGTATGGTCTCTGGAATTAAATGTGAGCTTGATTTCCAGTCCACCATTCACTCCTGATGGAACACGTGAGGATGTTATTTAACATTCCCAAATTAATTTACAGCTGTCAAATTGGAAGGACTTTCAGCAAAACGTTGTGTGCATGTAGGGTAAATATAAATCATAGACTTTGGAGCAAATATCAATCATATAGTAAAATAATAATATTTCTTCCAAATTGCATCATAAAATTATCCACATCCATATGTATTGGTATATTACTGATTATTTGTAATAATATCAATATCATTGATATTGTATCAAAGTACATTGATGATACAATGATTGATACAATGTATACTGTATCAGTATTACAAATATAAATTTGTAATTACTGGTATGTTACTGATTATTAATGATGGGAATAAAAGAACCTACTGGTGATCTACAAAAGAAGATTGTTCTTCTAAAAATGATGGGAAGCCACTTTGAACTGACTGAATATAAAATCTACTATAAAAGAACTGAGCTGGAAGAGAGGTATTTTTAAGATGAGGAAAAAGAATTGTTCACTTGGAAATTCATGGCTTCAGGAGAAGGAATCTGATTACCAATAAATAAAAGAGGAAAATACACCCAACTAACATTAATGCAAAAACTGAATAAACATATTGAGCACCTTCTGTGTACAAGATCATGGTGTAGGGATTAAACAAAGGAATATGACCTGTCTTCTCCATTCGAGGAAACCATAACAGAGTACACATACAAGTTTACAAACAGCCATAATAAAGAGAAGATGATGTGAGAAATATTGAAACAACAATTTAAAGTGGTTTAGAGGGAAAGCCCAACTTCAGTGGGACAGAAGAGCTAAAATAGAAATAAAATTTGTACATCCGAGGAAATGGATAAATTTGAGACCAGCAAAATCTGAGCTTAAAAAACCTTTACATTCCTACACCTTCATTATTATAATAAGTATTTTCCAAATGGAAAATCACAGCACTTTTTTAATACCAAAATATGTAAAGAAGGCTAAGTTGGCAGCAATACTCATGATGAGGAGATGTGAGTCGTCAAACTGTACATGTGGTGGGAATATTTTTTAATTCCAAAAGTTGTATGGGAACACTCCTTTCTCACTTTTCTCATACAGTAAGGGAAGAAATCTTGAAAGCCAATGGTGCCAATATTTTCTGATTCTTAAAAGTCTTTGTTGGATTTAGTTGTTTGGATCACACTATTTTTCATATATATGTATTTCATCTTTAACAGAACATATGATTCAAAATATATTATTTACATGTTATTTTGTGCTTATTTTCACTGTTAATTTTGTAAATTATGTAGAAGCACTGAATATTTAATGTAATCATAGAGAAGATGCTTTTAATGAGGGAAATCTACTTGGTTTATTTTTTTATATCTAGAGCTCTAATGTACATAAAAGCAAGACTCATGTAAATATATTTTTTGTTTATCAAGAAGATTTTAAAGTGGATGATTTAATTTTTTTTTTTTTTAACCAACTTTAAGCCCTCCTGGAAAAATTACTAGAGAACATTAGTTAGGTATTTGGAGAGTTATACATTAGCTTTTTCCAGACCCTAGAAATCAAATGGCATCATATTGTGAGGGAGATTAACTTTTTCCCAAATGTCCAGCTTGTTCACAAAATAACACAGCAATTCTATACATGCTACTCATCAGTAGAGCAAACATTGATATTTTTCTGTTAGCATCAGTCATTTTTTTAATAGTGCATATTTCATACAGATGTAATCTACATTCCAGAACTGTCATTCTGAAGATTCAAGGTGGAGTATCTAATCCTAACTTGTACTACGATGTTCACTAGATATTTTTTAAGCTTACTAGAAATATGTGGCATATACAATAGAGTTAAATATATTTTGGACAAAACATTGAATTCAATGGCAAAATTGTGGCATGAGAAATACACTTAAAATTTTAAGACTGAAAATTTAAGCTCATTCACTGACTTTGACAAGCTACCAAAATCATCCACACTTTTATAATTGTGTTTGAAAGACTCGGGAGGTAGAGATGTTAAAAAGAAAATCAAGATGCAGAAAAACACACAGATTGTGAAACCATTTAAATACAGATTTAAATATGTCCACTGGTATATGAACATGTGGTAAAACAATAAAGGAACAAAAGAAAAGACAAACACCACATTTCAGACAGTAGCTACTTCTGGGAGGGAGGACAGAAAGAGAAACCGATAGAGGAGGTGTGTTCACTAAAGGCTTCTACTATATTGGTCTAGGTTGGATGATAAGTATGTGGATTTTTTTTATATGTTTTATAAGTCTAAAATGTTTCATAAAAAAGAACTACCTGTAGGAATGCATCCTGCGTACACACCCACATACCCATACTTTTTTTTTTAAGGATTTTATTTATTTATTTGACAGACAGAGATTACAACTAGGCAGAGAGGCAGTCAGAGAGAGGAGGAAGCAGGCTCCCTGCTGAGCAGAGAGCCCAATGTGGGCTCGACCCCAAGACCCTGGGATCATGACTTGAGCCGAAGGCAGAGGCTTTAACTCACTGAGCCACCCAGGTGCCCCCCCACATACCCATACTTTAAACACAGCTTACAGATTTTTTTTCCATACAGACTTTGTTTGTATGAAAATTGATTTCTTAAAAGATTTTATTTATTTATTTATTTATTAGAGAGAGAGAGAGAGAGAGAGAGAGTGAGGGAAGGGGGAGAGGGAGAGGGACAAGCAGACTTCAGGCTGGGTGGGGAGCTGGACTCTGGACGCGATCTCAAGACCCCGGGATCACGACCTGAGCTGAAATTAAGAGTCAGATGCTAACCGACTAAGCCACACAGGTGCTCCAAAAGCCCTGATTTTATCCCTTACTTCTTGCGCACCATTTTGAAATGCCTCTAAAGAGAAATTTCTCAAAAGGAGCATCTCAAGTACCTGCAGGAATAAACATGACTCTTGCGTATGCTGCGTCTGAAGAAGCCCTTACACCCATCACAGCTTGATGCTCCATAATGCTTTCCCGTTGCTCGGTCCCCACATATGGCACAAAGGCAGTTGACACCATTGTCTGTGGTATTCATACTTGTTGTCTCTGGAGCAGAGCTATCTGTTAAAGAAAAAGCAGAGTAGCCTTCAAGTTAATACTAAGTATTTCTTATTTATATTACCCTACTAATTATTCACAGGCTCAAAACAGTCCATTTCCTTGACCTCTTGGAGCACACTAGTGCTCTCCTTTTAACCACTGGCCACTTCTGCCAGTCTCCATTCCAGTCTTCCCTCACATATTTCTGAAGATTAAACTTTGGGACACTATAGGTCTAAGTCCCCACAAATATACTCTTTCCTAGGGAAAACCCATTTGGTCCCATGATGTCAAATATCATGTGTATGAGAGAAAAATCCCCAGATTTTCTCTCTACCCCTGATGTCTTCCATGGGTATCAGTTTGAAATGCCCAAATACTTTTTTAACTACTTCATTTTAAAGTTTAATAGGAGGGGCGCCTGGCTCAGGTCATGGTCCCAGGGTCCTGGGATCGAGCCCCATATCGGGCTCTCTGCTCAGAAGGGAGCCTGCTTCTCCCTCTCTCTCTGCCTGCCTCTGCCTACTTGTGATCTCTGTCTGTCAAATAAATAAATAAATAAATAATCTTAAAAAAAAATAAAGTTTAATAGGAATTGCAAATTAATGTATCAAAACACAACTCTTCTATTTTTCCCCTCAAATTTGTTCTTCCTTCAGTCTTCCCTATGTCAGTCAGTCAATGGTTCCATCCAGTACCTTGGGCCAATAACCCAGTGGTCTTCATTGGATTCTCCCCGTCATTGTTCATATCCAATCTAATACTAAGTCCATATTTGAAATACATATTGAATTCACAACTTTTCACCCTTTTACCATGGTCACCCTTACCCAATCAACTATAATCTTTCCCCTACATTACTGCAATAGCCTCTTATCTAATTTTTCTGTTTCCACCCTTGCTCCCCTACTGTTTATTACCCCAAAGTGCTCTTGGAACAAGAAATTCACATCATATTAGTCTTCTGTCCCTAACCCTCAGAAACAGAATAAAGCCTACGCATCTCAGGCTTGCTGTAAAGCCTTGTGTGTTAAAGCTCCCTCCCACCTCTCTGACTCCATTACTTGGTACAACTTTCCATCCTGTTCACTGTTCAACAATGTCGCCTTTTTAACTTCCTTAAGTTGGCAGTTTCCATCTCTGAATTTTTACATTTGCTGCTCCTGCCTCAAAGGAAAGTTCTTCCTCAAGGATGTCTTTGAACTGGTGATCTGATTTCTGCTCCAGTTTCACTGTCTATGAAATATTCTCTGAACACACATCTAAGAGTCGTCCCTCATCTGCCCTCCAAGTAGAATCTAGAACCCTGATTATTTTTTTAAATAACTACTTCATTTTTAAAAATTATGTACTAGTCTGTTCATTTACCACCCCCTCTTTCCCTACAGTATATAAACCTCATGATGTTAGAGAACTTGGATCTGTCTAAATTCTAACAGAACAACTCATCGTATCTTGAATATAACAAAAGATAAAATTAAAGTCTGTCATGTGTCAATTAAATTCTGTGAAAACACATATATTCTGCTTACTAATACTACTGAGTAGACAGACATTACCATATATAATTTCGTCAAGAAAAACCTTAATGAGAATATGTTTAAGGGTTAATCATGTGATGTTATAGAGTTTAACGTGAAGAATTTTTCTTTTTGGTAACATAAACAAAATTGGTTTAGAAATACGACAGAAGTGTTAGGATTGATTGTATTCTAGATTTACGGAAACAGGAAAAAAATTCAGCTCTTGCTTCCAGTTTAATGTCATACTTACATATTGTTAACAACATTATTACAAAACAAGTTAGACAACACAGAAGTTAGCTGTGTTACATATTTATGCTAAATCTGTCCTTATTTAGTAATATACAGTCTTTTAAAAAATCATGATTCTCTGGAGCCAAATATATTATTAAATATTTTTAATCAAATCTAAACCTAAGGAATAAAAATAGTGATTTCCTAAGATTTGCACTAAGGGTTTCTTTTAATTCTCTTTGTGCTAAAATTTCAGAATTTATCTTCTAAGGATTAAAAAAATCTTCCCACTAATAAACTGTTGCTTATTATAAATATAATGAGATTAGCAGTTGTAAAACTGAGGAGCATAGCAGAACGTTACCCTATCCTGAGTAGAAGATATATTCTCAATCCCAAACTATACTACACACACACACACACACACACACACACACACATGTTTTTCAAAGTATATATAATTACTAGATTTGAGGTGTTCTGACAATTATAAGTAATCTTGGACAAGACTTTTACTTGGGAAAAACCTAAATACAAAGTCAACAATAAACTATATTATATAAAGACATGAACTCTAAACAATCCATGCCTTATTTGAAGTTAAAAAGTTACAGTGGATAAATACCAAGAGATTTGTGAGGCTAAACATTAGCTTGTCAAGTAGTAAGGTTATAATATAAGCCTTTATTTCCTTTCATACTGGGTTCAGTGCAAAAACTTACAGTAATTTTAAATGAAGTTTCTCATCAACAGCCATTGAGAACTGAAACGACAGGAGGAGGCAACCAGTAAAAGCCTCCAGCGTTCTGTATGTCATTTTAAATACCGCATAGAAAATGTACTTCACAGCCAGTCTGCCAATGTTACTTACTACTGTGATTTACAGTAAATAAAGTAACTTCTGAAACTGTTCTTTTTACCTTAACTGGCCTATGACAGAATTCTGAGGTCACTTTGTTACGCGAAACTAGACTTTAAAAAAGACTCAACATAAATGAGCCATAACAATATTAACTTAAATTTTGTGAGGAAATACAAAAACTCAGATACATAGTCTTAAAAACCAAGTCATGAATTCTTCAGCAAGGAGATACAGAGCTACCACCTGGGAAGCTCAGTTTTTACCCCTCCCATTATAGCTGCTTTCCTTTATGTCTACAAGTAGATGAGAACTCACCATTTGAATTATACAGAATCTGCATAGTTTCAAACTCCAAAGTTGTGTAAGTTGGGTCCAATACTTCACTGTAATTTGCCATCTCCATGTCCAGTATCGGTTCTGATACCCTCATCATTGACTTAGAAACACACATACAAGTGCCACCACAGGCCAGCGTGTGTGATGGCTGCTGGGCTTTCAATCTGTGAGTGATAATCCAAAGTTAACTGTTACTGTTAACAGTGACTTACGTGGGAGGAGCTGTAAAACTGTAAACTCCTCTGCAGGCCATATTCTGTTCATTTCTTTTTCTTTTATGGCATACGAAAGCAATTCCTTGTGATAATCTTGGAATGCTTCATGGAATCACCTTATCTGAAGTGCTTAGTGGACGAATATGATTTCCTAAATTGATTCCCAGTAGACAATAAATGATGTCATTAAGTAGTTAAAAATAGAAAAGAGAATCTCTCGGGTTTCAAGTATCTGTAACATGATTTATGCCATGCAAGGGGCTGAAATCACATACCACATGTTCTAAAAAATGGGATTTTACTGTTATAAATCTGATGCCAAGACTGTAAGTTAACACTTAACATAAGCACTTAATGATTTCAATTTTTCTTACTGTACAATAGAGCTAACTTTGTTTATGTTGGGGTAAAACATCTGTAATTTGAAATGACAAGGATTTGTGATATATTACAGTAGTAGCCTGGACATAACCCTAATATGGCTGGACATATTCTCCTTAACTATTTACTTATGAATCTGTGTCCCTTGAATGTTTGTAAACTTCCCAAGGACACAACTACTATAGTTGCTAGCACGTTGTAGGCATTCTATAAAAATAGCTACATGAATAAGTTTTCATTTCTTTTGACTTCTGATGCTTACTACATTCTAGGCACTGAATTCAAATAGAATTATCCCTAACATGTGTGGACCCATCATCAACCTCTAATACCTAGCATCTATATAGTACAGTACATCTTTTACACACACACGTGACAAGGGACATTTAGAATTTGGGGAACATTTAGAAGATAGGATTCAATGATTATATTTTACTTCTGAGAATACGTTTATTGATTTTATCTTCCAAGAAAGAATTTCAGCCACATTTACATTATAAAGTCAGAATCTCATTTCCTATGTTTGTTAAAAACTATGGCAAAGTAATATTTCTTATTCAACTTCTTAATACCATAAACCTTGTGAATATTGCATGTTAGAAAATTATTACATTTTTCATCTAGGAAGCCCAGCCTCTTAAAATATATTCAAAACCATGTGAAGAATTTGTGAAGAAAATAGCAGAGTCATTTTAGCAATCAGATTCACTAACTAAACAGTGATAACTGAATAGTTCACTTGCCTTCATATTCCGTAGCACTCAATTGTGAGGATCGTATCTGAGGGATACATTTTAGGGACTGATTCTCTTTAGTGAAAGCTAACTGTATTTATTCAGTTTTTGGAGATGTGGACAGCAAGAGAATCCCATGGTTTTCATTCGCATGAATTAGTTCTCACTTGTGAAGAAGTAACACAGACATGTTTCCTGTGTGAACCAAAGCAGTGAATTGTGCATAGCTCACAGTCTTTCTCGTCTATGTGGAAACTAAACAAGGCTGAGGAATATCACCCATAAAGGTGTCCCAAAAGAAGGAAAAGAAGAAAAGAGAAAGGTAGAGAGTCATTCATTTACAGAACTCAAAACACTAAGAGAAATGTGGATATAGCTCAGGAGAACGGTGCTGTCATAGTTTATTGTTCTACTCCATCCTGTACCTCCAGGGAGGGGGGGCCATCACTATTGGACCAGGGCATTTTCCTTGAAGGAGGAAGGAGCTACACTTCATCCCAGCACAGATCCTCAAGCAGTCACTAGCAATTAATCAGAGCTGGCTTTCAAGATGAAACCTGTTTCCCATCCATGTTATTGTAAATTATTTTTTTTCATTTTATAGAGTAAAAACTTGAGAATTTCCAGAAGATACAGCAGATCCAAATAGCAGGCGTATCACCTCAAGTGGGTAGTTTGTCTTCCTAATGATACTCAGATGTGAAAACACCCACAGCATCCAGTCAGGCTCAGTCCAGTGAAGAAAAAACTCTTTACGTTCTATATTCTTGAATAAATTACAAAGTACAGTAGAAGACTTCTTGTCTTAAGTGCTAGGATTGGTAATTCACTGAACTCATTCAGCAAATAAAATAATTAGAACAGAAAATTGTGAAAATGGTGTATCCGTTCTTAATAGCGTATTCAACTTAAATGGGTAAAGTGCTGCTGTTTTGTTGGCTAACCAAGACTTCTTATTCGAGTAAGTACTCACTGCTTGTGATTTCTTACTAAATTTTTTGTTTGTATAAATCTCATATACTGCCTTTGATGTCTAGTTTTATTTTTTAATGGAGGAAAAAGTCAAAGCTATCAGTAAAACCTAAATGCAGAAGCCTTTTAAAATTTTATACTTTTAAAAAATACTTTATATATTTTAATCCACTTGCTTTTATCCACTTCCAAAGTATCCACTAGTTTTTTGTTGGGGAAAAAAAAAATCTCTTTTAACACTTAGGCTTCAGCAAATTATGCAATGTTTAACTAAATGGTGAGGAAATAAGAAGAGCAAATGACATAACCATGTTACATAACAAATACAATTGACCTTTGATAACTATATACAGTTGGTCAGATGGTCAAGGGACACTCCAACACTTTTCCCAATAGCCAAGATGAAAAAATATAAATGTCCACAAATGGATGGGCAGAGAAAGTGTCCATTCAATGAAATAGTATTCAGCCTTAAAAAGGAATAAACTATTGATACATACTACACCATAGATAAACCTTCAAAACATTATGCTAAGTAAAATAAGCCAGTCACAGAAAAAGATACTACATGATTACACCAATATGAGAAATCTATAGTCAAACTCACAGATTCAATGAGAAGAACTGTGGTTGCCAGGGGCCAGGAGGATGGAGAAATGGGGAGTGACTAATCAAAAAGTATAAAATTTCAGTTAAGCAAGAGGAGTAAGCTATAGATAATCATACAGCACTCTATCAATAATATTATACTGTAACTTAAAAATTTGTTAAAAGAGTAGGTTTCATATTAAATGTTCTTACTAAATTAAAATAAAATAGATTGATGAAGAAAATCATGGGAAAATGATCAACCCTATCAGTAATCAGAAAAAATGTAAAATAGAACAGTTAATGCTATTAAACAAAAAAAGGTGCCTACTACTTAAGGAAGTTAACCTACTCTGAAAACTAATTAGTATGTTCCACAAAAGGAAGTTCAATACCTGAGTTAACTCAGGGAGTTGGCTCAAGGGAGATTAAGAGTTTTTCTTGTATTGATTTTAACATGAGATAACTTGCTAATTACTTTCGTATATGACCAATCCCTCTTCTCTACTTCCAAAATTAATTAGGCTAAATTGAGAATATTTTTATTTGCTTAAAAAAAAAGTAGGAAAAGGACAACAAGATGGATGTGAAAGAAAAGAAAAAAAAAGGAAAAGAAGAAAATGTCACAGAGAAAAAATTTTAGTCATGGTTACTTTTAGATTTTTAATTATGCATCATAATCTTAGCAAGTATCGCATTCTTTAGTATTTTTTGTGTTTTTTATGCTATAGTGATTGTGGAATATTCATAATTTAGGATATGTGATTTTTGGAAACGTGCATAATTGAACAAAATAAAATTATATAATTTAATTGTATAAACCTTGGCTACATAAAACATTTATGGTATTTGTTTGCATATTTTCACATTAAAATTCAGCTATTTTCAGGAATACAGATGGACACCACACAGGGAGTCTTTCATTATTGCTTTACCAAGTACTTCTTATGGGTAAAATTCATTAAGGCTACATTAGATTAAAAGCTTAAGTAGTTATTAAGAGAACTATATTAATTTTATGCCTAGGTGATAGAGAAATAATTATCCTTAAATAAATGGGACTTACTAAACCCTACATTCAGCATAAATTTATGAGTACCTTTAAGCTTATTTCTAAAGGTTTAATTGGGAAAAACATCAAAAATTCATGCTAATTCCTAAGACAGTAATTTATAGTAAGTAGCATATATTTGCTAAAGTAGAAATATATTAACTTAATCTAGATCCAAAAATATAGTATATATGATAAACTATGACCTACTGAAAATCTCCCTTAACAGAGGTCACTGTAGTATACGTTCTCTAAGCTGAGCAAAATGTTGCTGTTCTTTAGAGTGTTATCATGGTTTGTGGGCCAAGATGTACCTTCTTAGCCCCAGTTTAGGGCAGTTCATTCCAGAGAGAAAAACACTATTAGTTGTAGATAAAAGGTCAATATTAAAAAGCATAACTAATATTCCTGAAAAATGTTTCTCTCAGAGCAATGGTTTTCTAAACTGACATGTGAAATATTTATTTAAATTTCTTTAGAGCAACATAAGATGAAAACTATATAGTGTTTAAAGAAGACAAGAACTCAGTTCACTATTGACTATCCAAGATAATAGCAGAAACATTTCTATCTTACCTGTAAGACTATTAAGTCTGTTAAATTGTTCTATATTTCATATTTAATTTAACCATTCCTTCACAGCATGTTTTAAAATAGGGAACAGGCTAATAAAAATCAAGGTTATTTTCATAAAAGAATTTTCATAAAAAGGATTTTTATTTTTATTAACAAGTTTTCTATTTTAAATTATGGAAAATAATTTTCACGAAAATAATCTGGAATGTTAGTATCAATATTAAAACATTTCATTTTAAAGTTAGAGTTAATAAACTTTTTCCTGTAATCTGATTTCTTTGAGGTTAATTTTCATTACCAAAAATACCACATTAACCCCAAAAGCACATTAGTAGTTTCTCTTGTTTCCATATTCTACCTTTTCAAGTATGAAGATTAAATAAATGTGATCCCGGGGCACCTGGGTGGCTCAGTGGGTTAAGCCTCTGCCTTCGGCTCTAGGTCATGATCTCAGGGTTCTGGGATCCAGCCCCGAATCGGGCTCTCTGCTCGGCGGGGAGCCTGCTTCCTCCTCTCTCTCTCTCTGCCTGCCTTTCTGCCTACTGTGATCTCTATCTGTCAAATAAATAAATAAAGTCTTAAAAAATTTAAAATAAATAAAAAAATAAATAAGTGTGATCCCTAAAAGTTAGATGAAGAA